AAAAAGAAGGGAATGGAGGCATCACACTCCCAGACTTCAAACTCTACTACAAAGCCATAATCATCAAAACTGCATGGTATTGGAACAAGAACAGACATACAGACCAATGGAATCGAATAGAAAATCCAGAAATAAACCCACAGATTTATGGTCAACTAATCTTTGACAAAGGAGCAAAGACTATGCATTGGAGCAAAGAAAGTTTGTTCAATAAATGGTGCTGGGAAAACTGGGTCGCTACATGCAAAAGAATGAAGTTTGACCACTACCTCACACCATACACAAAAATCAACTCAAAATGGATTAAAGAACTAGACATAAGACCTGAAACCATAAAATATATAGAAGGAAATATAGGCGAAACACTACGTGATTTGCACATCAAAGACATCTTTACAAACACATCACCCAAAGCAGTGATAGTGAAGGCAAAGATAAACAGCTGGGACTACATCAAATTAAAGAGCTTCTGCACAGCAAAAGAGACAATAACAAAAACAAAGAGAAACCCCACCAACTGGGAGAACATTTTTGCACCCAACACTAATGATAAAGGACTGATCACAAAAATCTGCAAAGAGCTGATGAGACTCAACAACAACAAAGAAAATAATCCAGTCAAAAAATGGGCAGAAGAGCTAAAAAGAAACTTCTCTCAAGAGGAAATGCAAATGGCCAACAGGCATATGAAAAAATGTTCAACATCACTTGCCATCAGGGAAATGCAAATCAAAACTACCATGAGATACCATCTTACACCAGTGAGAATGGCACATATTAAAAAAACTAGCAACAACAAATGCTGGCGAGGGTGTGGAGAAAAAGGAACTCTTCTACACTGTTGGTGGGAGTGCAAACTGGTCCAACCACTGTGGAAAGCTGTGTGGAGATTTCTGGACCTACTAAACATAGAGCTTCCATATGATCCAGCAATTCCACTCCTAGGTATTTACCCAAAGGACACAGAAACATCAATTCCAAAGAACACCTGCACCCCTATGTTTATAGCAGCACTGTTTACAATAGCTAAGCTTTGGAAACAACCCAAATGCCCAAAAATAGATGACTGGATCAAGAAGATGTGGTACATATATACCATGGAATATTACTCAGCATTCAAAAAAGATAAACACATGCAATTTGCAGCAACATGGATGGCGCTGGAAGGGATCATGCTCAGCGAAATAAGCCAAAAAGAAAAGAAAAAATACCGGATGGTCTCACTCATAGCAGGAATCTAGAAAACTTAAATAAGGGACCAGGAAAACGAATAACTATAAGAAAGTGAAAATCAAAATCAACAAAAAACTATGAACCAGAGACACTTTTAGGGGGGTGGGGGCGGGAGGGGAGGGATTGGGGTCAGAATGGGGGGGCTGCAATTGTATGGGGAATACAACAATAAAATTTATTATTAAAAAAAAAAAAAAATAAATAAATAAATCTTAAAAAAAAAACAACAAAAAAAAAAAAAAAAAAGATCAACAGCTGGGACTACATCAAATTAAAGAGCTTCTGCACAGCAAAAGAGACAATAACAAAAACAAAGAGAAACCCCACCAACTGGGAGAAAATTTTTGCACCCAACACTAATGATAAAGGACTGATCACAAAAATCTGCAAAGAGCTGATGAGACTCAACAACAACAAAGAAAAGAATCCAATCAAAAAATGGACAGAGGAACTAAAAAGAAACTTCTCTGAAGAGGAAATGCGAATGGCCAACAGGCATATGAAAAAATGTTCAACATCACTTGCAATCAGGGAAATGCAAATCAAAACTACCATGAGATACCATCTTACACCAGTGAGAATGGCACATATTAAAAAAACTAGCAACAACAAATGTTGGCGAGGTTGTGGAGAAAAAGGAACTCTTCTGCACTGTTGGTGGGAGTGCAAACTGGTCCAACCACTATGGAGAGCTGTGTGGAGATTTCTGGACCTACTAAACATAGAGCTTCCACAGGATCCAGCAATTCCACTCCTAGGTATTTACCCAAAGAACACAGAAACATCAATTCCAAAGAACACCTGCACCCCTATGTTTATAGCAGCACTGTTTACAATAGCTAAGCTTTGGAAACAGCCCAAATGCCCAAAAATAGATGACTGGATCAAGAAGATGTGGTACATATATACCATGGAATATTACTCAGCATTCAAAAAAGATAAACACATGCAATTTGCAGCAACATGGATGACGCTGGAAGGGATCATGCTCAGCGAAATAAGCCAAAAAGAAAAAGAAAAATACCGGATGGTCTCACTCATAGCAGGGATCTAGAAAACTTAAATAAGGGACCAGGAAAATGAATAACTATAAGAAAGTGAAAATCAAAATCAACAAAAACTATGAACCAGAGACACTTTTTGGGGGGTGGGGGGCGGGAGGGGAGGGATTGGGATCAGAATGGGGGGATTGCAATTGTATGGGGAATATAAAAATAAAATTTATAATTTAAAAAAAAAAAAAACAAAACAAAAAAAAAAAAAAAAAAAAAAAAAACAATACAAATGATATACTGTATTTTTGAAGACTTCTTAAGTGATTTATAACTTAGATAATATTACAAACTTAAAATTAGTGATATTATTAGTAACATCATATATAAAATCTAATGATATTTTCTATCTCCCACATTTTCCATATAATACCATGTAACATGGTGTATACCGTATAATGTGTTCTTATACCATATACTGTCTTATACCATATACTGTTCTTATACCCTATACCGTATACTGTCTGTGTACACTTATGTATCCTATTATGTAAGTGATAGTGAGGGTTTATTTTTATTTGAATCAAAATGATGTTTTATAAAGGAATTGAGTATAATAATTTACAATACTAGAGTTAGATTAAATGATACTTGGATACAAACAGGAAAAAAATAGAGTATGTGCAGATACTTTTAAACTCCCGTTTCCTGTGATTATCCAGAATAACTTTTAAATACTGATCAAAATTTATTTCCATAGACTAGACTTAGTCTGTCTCGAGCATATTGCTGTCATTTTTCATGTTGTATGATTTGCAGATATACTTCAATAAAATGATTTTTATAATTGTTAGATATACATTATGCAATGCTCATTTAAACATATTAGCTTTTACTGTACTTGCCTTGATTTTCAAGCAAAATTTTATGTCACAGTACATTAATTTCTATTATCTATCTTTGCACTTTTTCATTAACACATTTTATTACAATAAACAAAAGTAAAGATGGTGTTAGTTGTTTGGCTCCAGGCTGCAGTTATTTCACCAAACATCTGGAAGACAAATGAATGGAACAGACTAGCTGTAATTATATTTATTGATTTGAGTGTTTTTAAATTCTTATTTATTTTGAACAATAATGCATTTGTGTCTATAGATTGATTAATGGATTCTAATCTTAATCATGAAATAGTAGAAGTTACAGCTGGCTAAGTAATGTGGTTTCTTACAAATTACTTCAATTACAGATGCCAAGCATTCTGCATTCCCCACTTAACAAGAAGTGGTTTGCCAAGAAGTTTCTTTCATGATCAGCTTGTCTCTGTACTGGCACAGCTGTTGGAAAAGAAACTACCCATGTCAAACGTACCTCATCCCCAAACTCAATCCCCAACTACACAGTGTGTCTACACAATTATTCCAGGCTTGAAGTGGTGTATGATCTGATATCTTCCCAGTAACAACAGTTGAAACAGTTAGCTTGTATTTATATTTAATTGTTTGCATCATGTTTACCATGCTTTTGAATAATAGAAATAGCCTGCATTGACTAGCAATTACAATATTAAAATACTGTGGGATTTTAACGTGTAAAGTTATGCAGGTTAAAACTGTTCTTTCCTAATTGTCACTTTATGCTATTTTAAAATTTAGATATTACTTGAAAATGAGGCCTCCCTGGTGACACAGGGGTTAAAGGTGGTGCTATCAAGCTATCAGCAGCCATTGCAGCAGGAGTTCCATCCCCTGCAGGCTGGGGAGCAACCCACAGGGCCTGCCAGAACTCTCCTGCCTCGCCCGCTTCTACCCTCAGCAGTGTGTTTCAGTAGATCTGCCTGTTCTGCTCCCCACTCTGTCTCTGGTGAATCCTTTGACCCCTCACACCTCTGGCCTACACCCCAGTTCTTGTATGCATAAATAAATAAATCTTTTTAAAAAGTCTCTTTTAAAATGATCTCTTATATTCATGATCCTATATCTGTTAATAGGATAATAATAGAGGTATATATAAGTTTTTATTTAATTTTTATAATCGAGAAATATGTTTTCCTTTTATAGTAATTTATAAAGAATGGATGAGAAATAGCTTATATATATACACACACATTAAATACATATATAAACTTCTTTCATAGATAGATAATAGTCATATTCTGGTAGTTAGGTGAAAGTATTAAAGTTACTGATTTACCAATTAGAAAGAAAATTTCATTTATAATTTTAAATGCTTTTAAATAGGCTTCATAGGGGCCTCCCCGGTGGCGCAGCGGTTGAGCGCTGGGTTGCGAAGCTGCCCGCAGCCTCTGCAGCGCCGGTTCAATCCCCGGCTGCTCCCCGACCACCGGAGGGTTCCCACATGGCGCGCAGACCTCTCCTGCTGCCCGCTGCTCCCCTCAGCAGTGCACTTCGGTTCTTCTGCCTGCTCTGCTCCCCGCTCTGGCTCTGGTGAATTCTCTCACCCTCCCGCGCTTCTGACTGTACCCAGTGCTTGTATAAATAAATAAAGTAAATAAATAAATCTTTTTTTAGAAAAAGGCTTCATAGTATGTTATTGACATGTGCACATTCTTATGTGGAAACTGAGATTCCATTAGACTGCATACACAAAGGAACAATAGAGGAACAGGTTTTTAGTACTCAGAAGTTAATTTGGAAGAAAATAATAGAAGAGTCTGATCCTTCTCAAATTTATGAAGTTGGAACTCAAACAGTGCTAAATGAGTTACGAATAAAAACTAATTGGCAATTAAAAACTATAGAAGGTGCGTTTTACCTTTTTTCACTTCAAGGGAACATGAGGGTGGCTGTGTCGGGACCCAGGGGGTCGCTGCCGGAGAGGGCGAGGAATGTGCGTCCTCGAAGCCATGGCGAGCTGACAAGGCCCGGCTGCCTGGACGAGGGATTCTGATAAGGTTGAAACGATAAACTTACTTATAAAATAAAACACGTCACATCACTTAATGCAGTCATGAATTATCACACACTCGGAGATAGAATTCCGTGTACTGGCGCTAATGAAAGGTGCACCCCATCAGCGCTTGAGCGTGCTGTGCGCCGGGCCTCCCGCCTCACCTTCCCGCGCAAATCTCTCCACGTTTCGGGGGCGGCCACGAACAGGGGTGAGGTGTCAGGTCCCCTGGCTCCTCCTGTGGCTCCCTGAGGATGAGCGACCTTGAGCTCCTTGACCTGTGCCTGCCGGCCATTGGCATGTTTTCTGGGAAAAATGTCTATTCTCTTTCTGGTTTCAATCACATAGTTTGGGGCTTTTTGCTCCTCAGTGGCACGGATTCTTTATACCTTGTGTGTGGAGCCCCTTGTCAGATCTGTCATTTGCAAACATTTCCTCCAATTTTGTAGGCTGCCTGTTGATTTTTTGATGGTTTCCTCTGCTGTGCAAACTCCATGAGTTACTAATTCTCATTTCTACTTTCTTTCCTCACACAACATATTGCATTTTTCTCTTTGAATAGGACGCTGAATGTCTTGATACTGAGTTGTTCTTTCAATGTTTTAATGTTTTTGCCACAGCCTTCAGAACCACAACAACGTCACTATGATAATTGAAAACTCACCACAAAGTTTGATCATTAAGGAAAAAAATAATTGAGATTTTAATTTAGATAAGATATTGCTAATTTGTTCAGGCTCTGCGTTACATGACCATCACTCGGGGAGGAAAGAAATCCTTCATTAATTTCCAAGGAGATAAACAAACACCACAGATATTCAGAGTGCTTTCAGAAAAAGGATATTTTCTTCTTTTTGAACAGTACCACGGTTGAAGAATTTATTGACTATAAGCACAGAAATATAAGGTCAAAACTAATGAAAATTGGAAGCACAATTTTCAAGTAACTTGATAGGCACTAGGGACTGCTGGAGACATCGAACACCAGATGACTTCATTGTAAGGGAGGCCTTCAAAATGGGGATGAATATGAAGAGAAAAAATGCTGCTTGATTTACAATCTTCAGTCGGAAAGTTAATGTAAATATACACAATTTTCCCCTCCCCTCGCCAACCTTGCTGCTTTCCTTCAGTGTCTCTCTTCCTTCCTCATGTTCTTCTTTCCTCTTTTTCCTTCTTCAACTCTATAAATTTTCTTCCTTCTCATTTAGAAAATTTTGCAGTGTTAAAATGTAGCATCAATTGAAGTTTAACTCTCCTCTTTCTTTATAAAACTTTAAGATGCCCTATGTAGTGTCTTAATTTCCTTTCCTACCATATCCCCAGATTGTAACTACACCAGAATGCTGTCACATGATTTTTATGGGAATATAAATGTATTAAATGTAGCAAGGTCAATAATAGTTTATAGCATTTAATGAATGCTATAAATGATGAATAACAGTTTATAGCATTTCTTTAGAAAAATAATATGAAACAAAAAAATTCAGTGTAAGTGCCTATGATTGTCAGAGGAATAGCATGAATATTGGAGGTATAATGAAATTTATATTTGCATTCAGTTATAGACTAAGATAGAAGAATGGTAAATGTATAGGATGTGCTAGATTTCATTGATCTACTAGAGCTAAGATGCTTGCAGTTCGAGGACAGAAACGAGATTTAAATGATCCAATGTTGAATTAGAATACAGCTAGGCAAACTGTGGGAACTGTTACAAATATCATTAACTTTTTTAAATTACCACAATAGTAAAATTTTAAAGTAGTTTTTAGGGATGCTTCAAAATAACATTTTTCTTTTTCATGTCTACAAAGATTGTAGGGGCTGCCAAGAAGTGCTTCTAGAACCAGATTAAGTTTTGGGGAAGCAGGAGATACACTGGAAATCTCCAACAACAGAAGCAAAGTTACTTGAAAATTGTGCTTCCAATTTTCATTAGTTTTGACCTTATATTCTGTGCTTATAGTCAATAAATTCTTCAACCGTGGTACTGTTCAAAAAGAAGAAAATATCCTTTTTCTGAAAGCACTCTGAATATCTGTGGTGTTTGTTCATTGTAAAGGAGACATTTGGGGGCATAATACGCATATATGAAAAAAATTACAAATGTCCACAGCAAAAGAATATTTTCAATGTTTGAGGTCAGTGCACTGTGCTTCTCTAAGACTAACTGGCTTCTCTCATTGGGTCATGATTGATTTGCCCACTCAGCAGGGGAAGTTGGGGTGGGGGGTTTTCAGCATCACCTGGGTTCTCTTCCCAGGTGATGTTCTCAGAATCTTTGCAGTGGAGTCTGGATGAGGGGGCTCCGTGGCCAGGCACCCAAGTGGTCCTCACCCAAGAACTCCCTCACCGAGCAGTAGAACTCAAGGTGGGGCCAGCTCTGGCTCCCCTCCCACAAGACTGGTGTCCCCCCAGGCACTTGCTCCCTGCCCCTCATAGCTGTGTCACAAAGTGCACCTCCCTCGCTTCCACTGGCCTCCTGGGAGACCCCACACTCCACCCGCCAAGACCAGCCACCCCAACGTCTTGGTTCTTTTGTTTGTTTCATGTGCTATATAAAATTTGATATTTTGCCTATTGATGGGGGGCAGCTAACTATATTAATAAAAAAAAATCATGTAACAAAGAAGAAAGCAAAGTTCAAATGTAGAAATCCTTTTACATTTGACTTTAAACTTCAGAGAATTATCACTCCCTAATTTTCTTTGCTATGCCACAATAAAAAGAAAAAGAGTAGATGCTATTCAAAGAGAAATAAACTGCATCCAATTAATTAGAAATAGTGGGAAATATCTCTTACATTTACAAATCCGTTGACTTCTGCACAAGATGCTTGTTTATTCATAGAGGGAAAAGATTTACAGGTTTAGTAGAGAAACGCTCTCATGTGATTAAAAAGCAGGAGATGTAGCCTATTGTTTTTCCTTCTGTGGGCTGACTTATCTGTGGGAAGCGCTTGAATAACACAGGTTTGATCTGCTTGGATTCGCTTAAAGATTTCCCTGTACACCAACAACAATGGTATGTTATGAATCAGAACAGTTCAATGCTGTAAGTGCCTTTTCGCTTCCTTATGATTTTCTTAATGACATTTTCTTTTGCCTAATTGACTGTGTTCTAAGAATACAGTATATAATACACACGACAAACAGAAGATGGGCTAATTGGCTAATTACGTTTTCCCTAAGGCTATAGGTCAACAGTAGGTGATTAGTATTTCAGATTTGGGGGGAAACAAATATATAATATATATGGATTTTCAACTGTGTGGGGTTGGTGTTCAAACTCCTGCATTGGTTAAGAAAGGACAACTGTAATGTGATAAAGGTATGGACTATTTTTTAAAACTTTTTATCACTTCTGTAGTTTGAAAATAGAAGTACCCTTCTTTCTCATATGCAATAGGAGTTCGTGTCTGCTAAGATAAATTCTTTTATACTCTTTTCGACAGTGTGATTAAATACTATATTCATGGGGTTAGGTTTAAAAATCCAACTACTGATTCTCCTATATCAACGGGATCAATTGATCACACCGATGTCAATTACCGCTTCAAATCACCAACGCTGCAGAGCTCTCTTTCATCTTTCTAAACTCCAATCATAAATAATTTTTTACCTCTCCCTGATCATTGTGAAGTTTCAAAGTTGTTTGCATGTATCCTTAATATTTTTTTTGCCCTAAAGTGAATTTCTTCTAATTTCCTACATAATTTTTATAAATCACTACACTGTTCTCTTAGCATCTTGCTTAACTCTAATTCCATATCATTCAAGGAAGAATAGAATAGAAAACTGATGCATGAGCTTTAGATTAAATCTGAAAACAAATCCTGCCCCATTGAGCTGGTGAGCCATCGGACACTTTTTTTTTTATTTTATATATTTTTACATCATTTGTCATTTTTGCACAATGTATGCATTTTCATCTTGGTTATAGTCCCCATACAATTCCCACATCCCCTTGTTTTCATCCTACTCCCTCCCCCCGCCCATATGTATGTCTCTGGTTTATAGTTGCTTGTTGATTTTGATGATGTGGTATATATACACAATGGAATATTACTCAGCAATCAAAAAAGATAAACTCATGCAATTTGCAGTAACATGGATGGAGCTGGAAGGGATCATGCTCAGTGAAATAAGCCAGAAAGAAAAAGAAAAATACCTGATAGTCTCATTCATAGCAGGAATCTAGAAAACCTAAATAAGGGACCAGGAAAAAGACTAATTACAATAAAGTAAAAACTGTCGGTCACTTTATATCATGTACTCTAGAAATCTTTTCTTTAATCCTAGTAAATCAGAAGATCTATTACAATGAGTTGCTATGCATTTTCTTTAAGAAAGCAAGCACTTGTCACCATATTTGATGATGAAGAAATATTGATATTGATCACAATAGGCGTAACTTTTGTCCTGCTCTTGGGAGGAGAGTTTGAGACTTGAAAGGTCACACTGGGACAGACTGCACAGCTGTTCCTCATCAGGGCAGCTGCTCTGCTCCCTCAGCTGAACTACATAGAAACCCCGATCGCATCACCATGTTTCCCGAGGGCCACTGTTGAGGGCATCTAGCCTGCTGTCTCACACTCACCAGCGTCGTCACAGCTCCGTGTCCACCCTGAGCAGCACCGCCTCGCTCCTGCCCCTGGCACACACCCCTCTGGACCTGACTGCATTGATCTGTAACATTATAAATTAATTATTAATGATAAAGAGTAACAAAGAAGAAATCATCAAATTAAACAACATATCCCTTATAATTACAGGATAAATGGTGGAGGTGATGACAGAAAAAAAGATGATAATTCTGATGAAAATGACCAAGTTGATTATGGGAAAAAGAAACAGAAAGGAGAGAAACAGCGCACAGGAGAGAGGGGAGTGGAGGGGAGCGTGAGGGACAGAAGAGCAGGGAGAGAGGAAGGGGGCGGAGGGAGGAGTGGCTGCTCTGCCAATGTAACCCACAAGTTTTTTTCAGTCTAGGAAAACTGTAGTTTACTGAGGTGTGGAAGGCATAAATAGAATTTTTCTGTTAGCTCTACCTAAGAGGCTTCATAAGATCTGATTGTCTATATTTTACATGCTTTCCTCCCAAGAATAATTTCGTATTTCACGATGGTTCTAGTTTATCTCATGTTCAATCTGCCTCTGAACCTGGAATGCTCTTAGATTTTATTTTATTGAGCTGACACTGATTTTCAGCCCCGTGGGATTCAGAGGACTTGGGCCCCGCCTCTCAGGTATATGTCACCTGCTAATCATTTGAGATCAGTGTGTTATTGAGCCCATTGCAGCATGCAGCCTGGGGTTCTGATTTTAAATAAAGTAAAATGTATTTCCTATATAAACCGTTAACTAACGAATTAAGACATTTCATGTCAGTGCGCGCTTCCCATGCTCATTACAAATACTGAATGGCTGGTTGTCTGGATTTGTTATTACACATTAGGGTCCTACTTCAAAATCCTCCTGGAAAGACTAAGGAAGCTGCTGCACAGCTAGAGTTAGAGGAGACTGAATTGGACCCCAGTGGTCCTTGTCCAGAGCGGATTCTGCGAGGAAGCACCAGAAAAAGAGATGGCCCCTGTATCTGCGCACATTGCTCCAGGGGACCCGCTCTAGGGTGTTTCGAGGCTTTATGCACATCAGCAAGGTTGTTGGCAGATGTTAAGCTGCTTGAAGAGCCTCAAGTGCACTGCATCGGGCATGAGCACCCAGCACAGGGGACAGCGTCTTTGGAAGACCTGATGCCAGAAGCTTTGGGAGCACTTAAGCTATTGGGGAAATGCACATCCATGATGTTGTCACACTTGAGGTGATGCATAAACCCATAGTAATTGTGTGGCTTATGTTTCAAAAAATGAATCTACTAGAACCTAAAGGAATCTCTTGTACATATTTCTATTGAGGAATTAGTGAACACTTCATATAAAATTTAAAAGTTATTTTTTTAATTTTTTTACGTCATTGCTCATTTTTAAACATTATTTGCTTCCCCTCACCCCCTAAGGTGGAGTCCCCATAGAGTTTCCTTCACCAATGCACCCGTGCACCATCACAAGATATACCTCACTAACATCTTTAAAGACTCATCGCCCAAAGCAAAGATAGTCAAGGAAAAGACAAACACCTGGGATTACATCTAACTGAAAAGCCTCTGCACAGCAAAAGAGACATTAACCAAAACAAAGAGACACCCCACTGACTGGGAAAAAATCTTTGCACTCCATACAACTGATAAGGGACTGATCACAAAGATATACTAAGAACTCACACGACTCAACAAAAACAAAATAAGCAATCCAGTGAGGAAATGGGCAGAAGAACTTAAAAGACATTTTTCAAAGAGGAAATGCAAATGGCCACCAGGCAGTCCATATTATCTTAATGAAGCAACATGTCCTTCCATTGGATTGTAGATCAGTGATTTTAATAGAATGTGCAAATGTGCTAGAGTCTGATGATTTCTTTCACGATTTCAAAGATCAAAAATGAACAATCTTTGCACTGATGGAAGCACATATGACAGCACGAATCACTACACTCGAGGTCATTGCTAGTGCAGGTCCAGACAGAAGACTCTGCTGATTTTTGGATATGTCACATTTGTGGAGCAAAGTGAAATATGACATGTCGTCTTTACCCCCAGAGCCCTCAGTGGTGCCTGCATCTCGATCTTCTGGCTACCAGGCTTTCTAAGCCACCCACTCAGTGGCCTTCCTGGTGCCAGCCATGTGCAGCTCATTTCGTTATCAAAGAGGCTGACCTCTATATTAATTGAAAAAATTTGTTTGAATGAAGCGTTAGCTGTGAGTGTGTTTAATCATAGAAAGTATATGAAAAGTTAGCTGTGGTCCCTCAATATCATACATCTTCTCAGAATGCAGATCACATATAAGTATATCTGATGCACACATGCGTATTGATACACGTATTTAGTTCAAATCTCTAAATGTTTAAGACGTTATGTTAAAGGGATTATTAATTTTTTCTGGCTATTTCTGAAATTTAATGAGCAGAAATCCTTTATATGGAGGGCGATATTATCACATTAGTAGAATCTATGCTAAACGCATGCTTCTGACTTGTTCCCTTAACCTGCTTGTCTGGTCACCTGCGCCTTACATTGTCTCTGAACAGAGAAGTCGTCCTTGGCCAAATATTTATGCATAAACTATTTATGGACTTTTTAAGTCTTTCCTCCCATCATTAATCCATGAGAAGCAAATAAGCGATCATCTTTTCAACTGAAATGCTAAGAAATGCAAATATGACCACAGCTGCGATCTCCACGGTGGATCACGGTCCTGCGTGCCGGGCGACTCGTCTCCTGCTCCCCGGCTCCTGCTCCCCGGCTCTTCTGGATCCGGAGTCTGCTGCGCCGGGGCCCAGGTCTGAATCCACTCTGTGGGGGCATCTCCCAGCGGGTCTGTGTCTGTCCTCACAGCTGGGCACCCCGCCACTTGCAGAGAAGCCAGGGAGCACGCCCGGCTCCAGCTTTGTCATCAGACCTCCTGCTCGTCAGCACCGCAAGAAAAGTCCAGCGTTAGACACTGATGGTCAGGGTGACCCTCTGGCTGCCACAGGCGTTTTCTGTCCAAATTCAAGAGACGAGGCCCTTCAAGGGCTCTCAGCTTCATCCATCAGACACAACCACACGAGGCCCCCTGCCCTTTGCCGCTCTTCTAGCACCTCCTTTAACTCTTGATCCGGCAAGGTCAGGGCTGCAGGGTCCCCGCTCTGCTTCTGTGGCCCGTCTCCATCTAAGGATCTCAGCGTCCTTGTCACTAAGCGCCTCTTCCGTGTGTCTGGTGGGAATTTTCCACAGTGTTTGCTTCTGCGCAGTTCTCCACTCTTGCCCATCCTCAACCCTGCCTTTTCTAGCAAGTGGCCACATGTATGTTTCTTTTCCTTTTGCGTATTGTGCGTATGATTATCTGTGTCCTTGAGTCGAGTGTGTTCCGCCCTGTCTAGAAATCACTCTCCTTTCCAAATCACGTCAGTTGAATGTTTATCTCCCACTCTGGGCCTTCCTTGTCTTCTTCTGACTAATGTGCACAGCATCATCCCCTCCAGCTCCATCCATGTTGTTGCAAAGGCCAGATTTCGTCTTTTTTATCGCAGAGTAGTTTTCCCTGTGTGTGCACACCGCATCTTCCTGGCCACTGCCTTCCGGTCATCTGTCCTTGGGCACTGAGGGTGTTTTCACATCCTGTCTATTGTAAATAGTGCCGCAGTGGACACAGAAGTGCATCCGTCCTTTTGAATTGGTGTTTTTCTTCCTGCAGGTAGATAGCTAGGAGTGGAGTTGCTGTTTTGAAACCTCCATACTGTTTCCATAGGCCTGGCCAGTCTGCATTTTTAATAATATATACCTGAAACATATGTAATGTTATAAGTCCTTGTTATTTCAACAAAATAAAAAAATAAGGTATTAAAATTGAAAAAATAAAAAGATGAAGTGATAGTGCCAGGGGAAAAGAGAGTTGTGTGAAAATATATTGTTAGAAATATGCATTGTGAGTTACTGAAAATATGGTGTCATAAATAATATGATGTGTATATACATAGAAGTACAGCTCATCCAACAAGGTAGCTATTTAGCATTTAAAAGAGCCCCATCAGCAGCTGATTGATGACGTGTGAGAGTGTAACTCTGCTCAGATTTCCTGGAACCGACACACCAAGGAGAGCTTACAGGCCGGTGTTTTCACATCTCTTCATAGCATTGACAGATCCTTTTGGCAAACACTTGTTTGCACTTACATGTTAAGGGAGATTCAGCCATCAATTTTATATTTGTTTAGCTTGCTTGCTTTCAGAGTTTATCTTCAAATTAAAAGAAAACAAAAGTTAGAGAGAACTCCACCTCCTTCTCTTCTGTGGAGGATTTTGTATAAACCTGGCGTCGTGCGTTCCTTGACTATTGTATGGGATTTGCCAGGAAACAGCCTCAGCCAGTTACTCTCTCTCTGGGATGACTCTTGTCACGCAGGCATGTGGGCTGAGGACACCGCGTTTTCTGTTAACTCTTTGAACACCCGGAAGCTGGATTTTCCTGGGAGCTGGTTGACCACGTCCTCCAGTCTATTAGAATACTCTGTTCTGTCATATTTCTCCATCTTAATAGGACGTGACACCACAGATATGAGGAATCACAGACATACACAGGGGAGAAGGCATCATTTATATATTTCATGGAGGGATGTATTGTAATACATCATTTATACATCATCTAAAACATCATTTATATTTCATAGAGGGATGATACATCATCTCTGTATCATCATTTCGAAATTCAGTTCCTCTCTTCGCGCCTGTGTTTTTAACCAAGTGCCATATGTTACATCATTCCTTTCTAGTACATTCCAGCACCATCTCTGAGCCGCTGGGACGCGTGTGATTCCTCCTGGCAGCCGCGGGTTCACCACTAGCGGGAGACGTGCCGCCCGCGGCTGGGGTCCCGGTGCCGCCCAAGCAGGTGGGCAGTGGGGGACCCTGCAGCGCTAATGCGGGGAAACCCAGACAAGACCTAAAATCGAAATAATTCCAGGGCCGCTGGAGAGAGGGTGTGAGGAAGAGGCAACTCATGCAGGAGCTCTTTCGTATAGGCTTGAAATTAAAAAATCATGTTGAATGGGTGCTTTATTATACTAAAAATTAAATAATATGCAGCATTG